GGAGGTGCGGGGGCGCCCAGCTGGAGGGACCTGGATCGCTGGGTGGGCGGACAGCTGATGGGGCCGAGGTCTCCAGGGTAGGGGGTGCCGAAGGTACTGGGGGCCCCAGCCGGTGGGGGCGGGGTCTCCAGGCTCGAGGGGTCCTGGGGACGCTGGGTGGGGGCTCGGGGAGAGAGCGGCTGGCGGGGCGCGGCCGTAGGTCGCTGACCCCCGCCCCCCGCAGGATGGGCAGCAGCTCGCTGTCCGAGGACTACCGCCTGTGCCTGGAGCGCGAGCTGCGACGGGGCCGCGCGGGCGTGTGCGGGGACCCCTCGCTGCGCGCGGTGCTCTGGCAGATCCTGGTGGAGGACTTCGACCTGCACGGGGCGCTGCAGGACGACGCGCTGGCGCTGCTCACCGACGGGCTGTGGGGCCGCGCCGACCTGGCGCCCGCGCTACGCGGCCTGGCCCGCGCCTTCGAGCTGCTGGAACTCGCCGCGGTGCACCTGTACCTGCTGCCCTGGAGGAAGGAGTTCACCACCATCAAGGTAGGCGCCACATCAGGAGGAGCGCGCCCCTCGTCCTGGCCTGCGGGTCGCGGGGCCGTCGACTATGGGGGACCACGCCTTTCGGGGGAGAGGTATCCTCAGTGCCCGGTGGGCTTCTCAAGGCTCCGAGCGCTGAGGGGTCGTGGGCGTGAGGGGGCGCCCACTCCTAGGGCTGAGATCATGGGGTGGGCGAGGGCAGGCTGGGTGCTGCCTACGGGGTCCTGCCCTGAGAGCTTGCGTCAGTGTCTTCCCTGAGAGGCCTCGCGGCCCCAGTTGCCATGGAAATATTAGGACAGGGGCACAGAAGGGACTTGAGGTCCCGTGGTCATCCTGGTTCCTCTAGGATATGGGCCAATCCCATTTGCAGAGGAGGACAGCAGATGGGTGCATCCCTGTGAAGTCTCAGGGCTGGCACAGACCTAGTGAACTCCTTGGCCTGGGGTTGGAGGCTGTGCTCTAGGGCTGGCCTGGCCCCTCTAGGTGAGCTCCTGGCGGCAGGAGGGGGCAGGGCCGCCGGGAGCTCTGAGCTAATTTGGAAGAGTAGGAAGCCGATGACGTTACTGCACACGTGGGCGAGCTACGCCTCCGCCGGTTGCCATGGCAGCGGCCGTCTCTCCGCGGCTCCCCGGGGACACCTGCTGGTCGGAGGGGCCAGGACTCTCATTCATGAGAGAGACGGACAGGCCCGCCCTTGAGGCCTCCCAGCGGGGCAGGGCAGGGGAATAACCGGCTTCAGTGCTGGGCAGCCCTGGTTTGGACCTAGTCCTGCTGCCTCCTAGCCGCGAGGCCTTGGCCAAGTTAGCTAATCCCAGCCCCTTCCTCCCCTGAGACAGGGACACAAGAACAGTCCAGTTCATGGGGCCAGAGAAATGAATCGAAGCCCCGAGCTGAGTGCTGCAGGCCCTGGGTGCTCCACACATGGGCCGTGTCATGCCATTAGGTGCTGGGAGTGCCTGAGTTAGGGAATTTTAGAGTCAGGAGACTCTCGCAGTGATTGTCCTGAGGTTCCTTTAGTTCTTCACTTAATTGTAGGCTAGAAAGCACTCGCCCTTGGCCAGGCGCGGTGGCTCATGCCTTTAATCCCTGCATTTTGGGAGGCCGAGGTGGGTGGATCACGAGGTCAGGGGTTCGAGACCAGCCTAACCAACATGGTGAAACCCTATCTCTATTAAAAATACAAAAATTAGCTGGGCGTGGTGGCTCACGCCTGTAATCCCAGCACTTTGGGAGGCCGAGACAGGCGGATCACGAGGTCAGGAGATCGAGACCATCCTGGCTAACATGGTGAAACCCCGTCTCTACTAAAAATACAAAAAGAAATTAGCCAGGCATAGTGGCGGGCACCTGTAGTCCCAGCTACACGGGAGGCTGAGGCAGGAGAATGGCGGGAACCCGGGAGCCAGAGCTTGCACTGAGTGGAGATCGTGCCACTGCACTCCAGCCTGGGCAACAGAGTGAGACTCCGTCTCAAAAAAAAAAAAACAAAACACAAAAATTAGCAGGGTGTGGTGGTGCGTGCCTGTAACCCCAGCTACTCAGGAGGCTAAGGCAGGAGAATCACTTGAACCTGGGAGGTGGAGGTTGCAGTGAGCGAAGATTGTGCCATTGCACTCCAGCCTGGTGACAGAGCAAGACTCTGTCTCAAAGAAGAAAAAAAAAGAAAGCACTCACCCTTCTGCTATCCCCTGGCTGTCAGCCCAGTGCAGGGACAGCCTCTGTAGGGCTCTGAAAACAGATGCTGCACCCCGTGGTGGAATACTACACAGCAGGGGAAATGAATGCTACAGCTTCCGTCCTGATCTAAAATATAATGGAAAAGAAAAAAGTTCAGAACAACACGTTTAAGAGGCTACCTGTCTAGCTTTGGTTAGAAACCTTACAAAGAAAAGAGGTGGAAAAAAGGGGGTGGGCTACCTCCTAAGAGGGGCAAACAAAATCTGTGTGGGCAAATACATTCAAAACTAGATTAGGCCATCTCCATGGGTGAAGGGAGTGGTGGGAACCCAGAACAGTGGAATTTCTCAGTAAGCTCTTTAGTTTGTTCTGATTCGTGAGCCAGGTTAATGTATTAGTTGTTTTTTCCATTAAATTTTAAGAAATTCGGCCGGGCGTGGTGGCTCACACCTGTAATTCCAGCACTTGGGAGGCCAAGGCGGGGGGATCATGAGGTTAAGAGATTAAGACCTTCCTGGTCAACATGGTGAAACCCGTCTCTACTAAATATACAAAAATTAGCAGGGCGTGGTGGCGTGCACCTGTAATCCCAGCTACTCTGGAGGCTGAGGCAGGAGGATTGCTTGAACCTGGGAGGCAGAGGTTGTAGTGAGCCGAGATTGCACCACTGCACTCCAGACAGGGCAGCAGTGGTCTGCACTTTCGAGACACTGTCTCAAAAAAAAAAAAAAAAGAAAAAAGAAATTCTCGTGTTTGGGCCTGGCCCAGACTGGCTAAGCCTAGTCTCTGGGGTTGGGCCTGAGCATCAGAAGCTGCCAAGGCCTGAGCCGACAGATCCCGGACCCGCTGTATCCTAGGGTCCGGCCTGTGGGAGGGTGAGCAGCACTGACCGGGCCGCTCCCTTGCAGACCTTCTCCGGGGGCTACGTGCACGTGCTGAAGGGTGTGCTCTCAGACGACCTCCTCCTGAAGAGCTTCCAGAAGATGGGCTACGTGCGCAGGGACAGCCACCGGCTCATGGTGACCGCCCTGCCCCCCGCCTGCCAGCTGGTGCAGGTGGCCCTGGGCTGCTTCGCTCTCCGGCTGGAGTGTGAGATCCTGGGCGAGGTGCTGGCCCAGCTGGGCACCAGTGTACTACCAGCTGAGGAGCTGCTGCAGGCACGGCGTGCCAGCGGGGACGTGGCCTCCTGTGTGGCCTGGCTGCAGCAGCGGCTGGCCCAGGATGAGGAGCCTCCACCCCTGCCCCCCCGAGGCTCCCCTGCTGCTTACAGGGCCCCACTGGACTTATATCGGGACCTGCAGGAGGACGAGGGGTCGGAGGACGCCAGCCTGTATGGGGAGCCATCACCAGGCCCTGACTCGCCCTCGGCAGAGGTGGCCTACAGGCCACCACTGTGGGAGCAGAGTGCCAAACTGTGGGGCACTGGGGGCCGGGCCTGGGAGCCCCCAGCTGAGGAGCTGCCGCAGGCCGGCAGCCCACCCTATGGGGCCTTGGAGGAGGGGCTAGAACCAGAACCCTCCGCCTTCTCCTTCCTCTCTCTGCGCCGTGAGCTGGGTAGGCCTGGGGACCTGGCCACCCCTGAAAGCTCTGCAGGGGCCAGCCCGAGGCGTATTCGGGCAGAGGGGGTACCAGCCTCAGCCTATAGGTCTGTCTCTGAGCCCCCAGGCTACCAGGCACACAGCTGCCTGTCCCCGGGCGCCCTGCCCACCCTCTGCTGTGACACTTGTCGCCAGCTGCACGCTGCTCACTGTGCAGCCCTGCCCGCCTGCCGCCCAGGCCACTCGCTGCGTGTGCTGCTTGGCGACGCCCAGCGGCGCTTGTGGCTGCAGCGTGCACAGATGGACACTCTGCTCTACAGTAGTCCCGGGGCCCGGCCCTAGGCCAGCGGGGCCCCAGGTCAAGGGCTCTAGGGAGACAGCTCCCGTGGTGCTTTTCTCTTTGCTGGCGAGGGGTCTGGGCCTCTGGTCGCCTTGTCCCTGGGGGAGTTCTGGGCACAGCAGGGGGTTGAAGAGTCCAGGCCAACCCCTGCTGGAGGTGGGACTCTGTCCATGGAAAGCTCCAAGGGCAGCAGGCCTAAGCTGGCCAGCAGGAGCCTTTCCACATTTCCCTGCCCTCGGAACCCAGATGCATGCCCACATGTGCTGGGTAGAGGGCTCCAGCCTGTTCCAGCCAGTGCCGGAACCTGTCTCTGAGAAGGACCCTGTGCCCCAAGGCCTGCGGCTCCGGGCCCGCTCCCTGCAGTATGGGGCTCAGGACTTGGTCCTCCACGTGTCCCAGGGATTCTCCACATGGGTGTCCTCAAGGGCCTGTTGGTGACACCGAGGTCCCCCTGCCAAGCTCTGCTGGGGCCGATCTGGGGGGCTCTGCCGGGTGCATGGCTGACCTGGCTTCGGGGACCCCAGCCCTCCCCTTGGGTGGCTCAGCAACTGGGCCCACAGACAGGAAAGGACCTGACCTCACACCAGATGTGGAGGTGCCCAAGAGCCGCAGGAACAGGCAGCAGTAGACGGCTGGGAAGGCCTGAGCGTCCCTGCTGCTGGGCGGAGGGGCTGTAGGCAGGACACCCAGGCAGCTGGATCTTGGTCAGTCCAGTGGTAACGATACCCCTCCCCTCCCCTTGGGTGCAGCCCACAGGCTGGAGAGGAGATGGCTCTGCCCTAACCTAGGGTCTGGCGAGGGAGGGGGCAGGGTGCATCCACTGGAAGCTGAGCCTGCTCTCCCTACCCTCCTCCCTACCCCCTTCCTCCCCAGCACAGAGGGACGGTCAGCATCAGAGCACATTAAAAGCTGGTGAAACCATGTCTGTTAAGAAAGCTTTTATCCAACAAGAGCCTACAGTTTTGCTCAGCATCTGAGCCATGACCCCCCATTGGGGCCCCCGTGGGGAGCAGGGATATAGCTCAGCCCCCAGCCCAGGGCTCTTGGTAGTCTTGGGGCATCCTCAATTGTGGCTCCCACCCCACACCTTGTCCCTCTTGTCCTCATCTGGAGTCCTGCCAGGCCCACCTGGGGTCACCACAGCCGACCCATGCACGGGGCAGCCCCAGACAACTGAGAGGGGATACGAAGGTCTGGGCCCGCTGATCCCAGGCCAGCGTCCACCACAACTCGAAGACAGTGGGGGGACTGCAGCCACCACCTCTCCCAAGAAGCAGTGGTCCCGTGCTTCCCGTACAGCGAGGAGGAGAGCCGCACGAGACCCCTCAGTGGTCCCATGTTTCTAACACAGCAGGACCCCTGCAGCCACAGATGGGGCCGCCAGACCCGCCCTTCCAGGGTGCCCCCGTGTCACCCTGCATCCATGCCCTGCCTGTTTTGGGGGGCAGTAGTGGATTCAGGGCAGACAGTGGGAGGAAGTCAGTCAAGGGGATGAGCTGGGTCCCACGCACCTCGTCAGCTCCTAACACCCTTCATGGGCACTGCCGCCCGGAAGACATGGTGTGGGAATACAGGCGTATGCCAGGGCCACCGTCAGGGTTTACAGCGCTTGCTCTGGCCTTCAGAGGTGGCTGGGGCGGCCCGCTTGTTTCGGTGGTGGGGAAAGGTGGGCATGAGCTCCGGCTCACAGGCTGCAGGGAGAAGGGCGGCTCAGTGCTGGGCGGGGCAGGGCCCCAGATAGGGGAAGCAGGCCCAGGTCTGAGTCCAGCTCTGCCTCTGGACCTGGCCCTCGGCTGTCTGCGCCTCCACATGCCCCTGTCCTCTTACCCTAGAAAGGGGGTGCCGTCAGTGAGGGCACCAGACCAATTCTCCACCACCCACCCCCAGCAAAACGGGCTCCCAGCCGTTTTTGCTCCCTGCAGAGCAAGTCTGAGGAACCCTGGACACTCACGTAGGGGCTTCTCCTTGAAGTAGGAGCTCTCCAGGCAGTCCCCGGCCGTCGCCCTGGAGGAGGCAGCCTGCATTAGTGCGACTCGTGAGTCCGGCTTCCTCATCTCCCACCCAGCTGAGCAGCTGTGATTGAAGTTCTCAAAGGAAGCCTGGTGGCCAGAAACCGCTGTGAGCGGCTGTGCCTGGGGAGCGGCCTCTCCGCCGCAGTGAGGCTGGGCTCTGGGAAACGGTCTCCACAGTGCGGGTGGTGGGGGCCCTGCCCCCCGGGCAGAGACAGCACCTTTTCTTAGGGTCGTACATGAACAGGAAGTGCAGCAGACGCAGACCGGCCTCCGACAGCCATGGGAACTTGTGCTTCAGGTTGTTGTAGGGCTGCTTCCGGAGGCTGTACTGGCCGACCAGCGGCAGCTTGGAAAAGCCCTATGGGAGGCAGGAGCTGAGGCGCAAAGGGCGTGGGCACGGGCAGGGGGCTGCGGGTCTGCCCAGGACACCCACCGGCCAGATGTTCTCACTGGGCGTCCCCAGCAGCTGCACAATCAAGTCGATCTGGTGGATCTCGGAAGTGCCCGGGAGAAGGGGCTTGTGGGCCAGCAGCTCGGCCAGGATGCAACCCACGGCCCTGTGGAGAACAGCGGACCTCACTGCGGCCAGACCTCTGCTGACCCCGCCAGCGCGAGGCACACTGGGTCAGGGACACTGTAAAGGATAGGCAGGGACCACTAGCTCCCCCCCTGCCCGGGCCCCGCAGGCCTCCCAGGGTGACAAGGGCAGGGGCAGGCGTGCCTCCTGCAGACCTCTGTGCTCCACAGCAAGCTAAGTTCTCACACCTCCTCCTGGGTTCCCAGGCTCAGGCCCACCTCCCTGGGAGTGGGAGGCTGGCAAAGACTCCACTGCAGTCCTGCCCCTCCCGAGGCTGAGCTCAGGAACCAGGTGCCCCAGCTCCCGTCCCAGCCCTTCCGGAGGACCCAGGAGCAGTAACCGCTCCTCACCACATGTCGATGCTGGTGGTCTGCGTGGTGGTTCCCAACAGCAGTTCGGGGGCTCGGTACCTGCACAAAGCAGCACCCACCTCAGTACAGCCGGCTCCTCTCCCCCAGCCCAGGCCTCCACAGGACACAGCCTCCCTGAGAGCCTGTGGTGACCTGGAAACCTGTCCCAACTGGGACCACCCTCTGCCCCAAGCCCTGCAGATCTAGGTGGCACACACAGCAACGGCTGCCGGTGGCGGCACGTGCAGCGGCGTCCTGAGAGTCGCAGGGACCACAGACCCTCAGCACACAGCCACACCAGCCACCACCAACCTGTTCTCAGGTGGGGACGACACGACATGTGGCGTCCTGACCTATGTCTGACCAACTCTGATGTTCAGCCCTTGCTAAGCATGACCCTGTCTGGCTGAAAGTATCCAAGAGGAAGAACCAGGGAAAGCATGCAAGCTGCCCATCCTTCAGTCTGGAAGCGGCCTTCCCTCCAGAGATGGTTTCCCGGCCACAGTGCGTTTCTGGCTCTCAGGGCGAGGTGTGTCTCAGCTAGGCAGGACGCCACTGAGCCCAGCTCTCACCATTTTGTGGGACAGCCCTGCTGTGTCCTGGAGGCTGTCCTAGACCCAGCGTTTATGAGTTTGCACAAACCCTATAGCTTAACATTCCCAAGGCCATTTGCAGCTTCAGCCTGACATCGCAAGGAGCCCTCCACCAGGCAGGCCTGGTCCCCAGGGGCCACCACGCTTCAGAAGGACTCACCAGAGAGTGACCACCTTGGGGGTCATTGGCTTTACTGGGACGCCGTAGGCCCGGGCCAAGCCGAAATCCGCTGGAGCAGAAAGGGGAGTGTGTGTCACCAAGTGAGGGCTGACAATCTAGGGACAGGGCCTGGCAGAAGTTGCACCCACCTGTCTTCACACAGCCCTTGTCAGTCATGAGCAAGTTGGAAACCTTCAGGTCCCTGTGATAGAAAAACAGTGGCAGGTGGTTCCCAGAGGGCAAGGGCCACCAGGGGGATGAGATCTCCCACGGCACTGAGCGCCACCAGAGGCGGGAGCCACCGGGGGATGAGATCTCCCCCACAGCACTGATGCCCACACCAGAGGAGCGGGCCACGAGAGGATGAGATCTCCCCCACAGCACTGATGCCCACACCAGAGGCGAGGCCACGAGGAGGATGAGATCTCCCACGGCATGATGCCCACACCAGAGGAGCAAGGGCCACCAGAGGATGAGATCTCCCCCACAGCACTGATGCCCACACCAGAGAGCGAGGAGCCACCGGGGATGAGATCTCCCGGCACTGGCGCCCACACCAGAGGGCGAGGGCACGGGGGGATGAGATCTCCCACGGCGCAGTGCCCCACACCAGAGGGCAAGGGCCACCAGGGGATGGGGTCTCCCACCGGCACTGATGCCCACCAGGCGAGGCCACCGGGGGGATGGTCTCCCACAGCACTGATGCCCACACCCAGAGGCAAGGGCCACCAGAGAGGGATGAGATCTCCCCACAGCACTGATGCCCACACCAGAGGCGAGGCCACCGGGGATGAGATCTCCCCCACAACACTGATACCCACACCAGAGGGCGAGGGCCACCGGGGATGAGATCTCCCCACAGCACTGATGCCCACACCCAGAGGGCAGATCTCCCCCACAGCACTGATGCCCACACCAGAGGGCAAGGGCCACTGCGGGGATGAGATCTCCCCCATGGCACTGACGTGCCACACCAGAGGGCGAGGGCCACCGGGGGATAAGACCTCTCCCACAGCACCGATGTCCATAGACTTCCTGCACATTTCCTCATGTTTGGGCTTTTTAGTATCTTTTTTTTTTTTGAGACAGAGTCTCATACTATTGCCCAGGCTGGAGTGCAATGGTGCGATCTTGGCTCACTGCAAGCTCCACCTCCCGGGTTCATGCCATTCTCCTGCCTCAGCCTCCTGAGCAGCTGGGACTACAGGCACCCGCCACCAAGCCCAGCTAAATTTTTTTTTATTTTTAGTAGAGACGGGGTTTCACCGTGTTAGCCAGGATGGTCTCAATCTCCTGACCTCGTGAGCTGCCCGCCTCGGCCTCCCAAAGTGCTGGGATTACAGGCATGAGCCACTGTGCCTGGCCTAGTATCTTTATTACTATTTTTTTCATGAACTCATACATGCTCTTAATATTTGAGCCTTTTAAAAATGGGAGTGCATGGCCAGGCACGGTGGCTCCCACCTGTAATCCCAGCACTTTGGGAGGCCGAGGTGGGTGGATCACTTGAGCCCAGGTGTTTGAGACCAGCCTGGGCAACACAGAGAGACCCCTTCTCTGTTCTAGAATAAAACACAAATGGAGTGCAAGCAGTGGGCAGGCTACAGCTGGGAACCCTCGAGCTTTTAGTAACTTTCCATAGGAGGCAGCAGAGTCAGGCCTCAGCGGAATCTGTGCTTCCGACTCTGGCAAGCTGTCACCCACCTGTGGATGATGAAGTTCCTGTGCAGATACTGGAGGCCCCGGAGCACCTGCAGCACGATGCACTTGACCTGTGTAGAGGGTCAGAGGTGCCAGTCAGGCTGAGCCTGCAGGGAAGCCTGGCCGGACCCTGCCACACCCACACTGGCCAGCAGGACTGGCAGTCACAACAGCCCAGGAAACCAGTGCCCTCACAAGGCTCTTGGCCCCGGGGCTGCATGCTCCCACCAGATGCCCCCACCACAGGAATTCTACCTCACTGAAGCTCACTGACACACTGGGAGGCGGAGGCAGAGGCAGCAGCAGCTCTGCAAGTCCCCAGGTGGCCGTTTTGTTATCAATGTGCACCACAAGCGCCCATGAAGCCCAATCCCCCACCCCAGGCCCTCTGTCACGCACTTGGGCCTCCGAGAAGGGTGTTGGCATATTCTCCAGGAGGCTGGCCAGGTCCTGCTCACAGTAACCCATCACCAGGAAGATGCTAGAAGAAACAGAAGATGCATACCACCCTCCGGCCTTCTCCTAAGGGGTCAAAGTGGACCCTCCCCTGCTGCAGGAGGGGACATGGGCAGGACAACCTGTGTCCGCCTCTGACAACGGGCTGCGCCAGGCAGTGAGGTGGGGCCATCTCTTCTCTGACAACCTCATGCCCAGTGACACTCAGTCCTCACTCTGTACGACACCTCTAGCCCAAGATACATACTCCCTGGGGCCCGAAGCACAGAGCAGGAGACCGCGTACCTCTCCAGGTGGTTCCCCACAACCACCTCCTTCAGCTCCACGATGTTGGGGTGGCGCAGGCGGAGCAGCAGTGTGATCTCCCGCAGGCTGCTGATGGGGATGCCTGGGGAGGGAGGCGGCCTCAGCGCGCCCCACCCCAGTGATGACGGAGACACCCTGACCCCAGCCACTCTCGGGGCTTCATGAACACCCGATGCCAGTCGCTGCAGCTGTCCCCACCTCAGGGAGGATCAGGACGACCCCAATAAGCACTTTTAACTCTTTCTTGACCAAATACGCATCAGCACCTCTCTAGCCACCGTGGATATCCGTCTGGGGGGTGGCAGGGCCCTGCCTACAAAGGCAGGTGCTGGGGGTGGAGGGGACAGCAGAGCTGAGCCTGCAGTGAGGGGGCCTCACCAGACAGGAGGGGGAGGAGGGGATGGAGACCACAGAGCCCTCCCAGCAGACAGCTGAGGCTGCGTGTGGACCTGGGGGTGACGCGCTGGGCCACGCCAGAACCCGCCCAGAGGATGGCCCCCTACAGCCACCGTGCAGTCGCTCTGGGGAAACTTCAGCTAACTCACACCTTTCTGCCTCCTCCCAGTGTAGGGTCCCAGCACCCCATCTTCCTGCTCACCATCCTTCTCCTTGTCCATCCGTACCTTCTTCAGCGCGACAATCTCATCTGTCTGGGTGTCCCGGGCCCGATCTGCAATGGAAACACGTCGGTGACGACGTCCATCTCGATGCCCCTCGTGGGCCCCCTAGTGCTGCACAGGAACCTCTCTGTGAGCCACAGGGGTCCCCGTTCTTTCCTCTGACAACCTCCTGCCCGTGACACTCAATCCTCACTCTGTGCAACACCTCTAGCCCGAGACACCTGCTCCCTGGGGGGTTTCCTCATTTGAACTGCGCAGGGGGTGCCCAGCTTTGCTCTGTGCTGGACCCTGGCCTCCAGCCACTCAGTTCTGTGGCTCCAGGCTCTCCCTGTGCGCCTCCTCAGCACGCAGATCACAGCTTTGAGCTCTTGTAATGTCCTAAAAGCAAGCAAGGTACTCTATGTAGAAAAAAGTGGGCCGGGCGCGGTGGCTCACGCCTGTAATCCCAGCACCTTGGGAGGCCGAGGCGGGCGGATCACAAGGTCAGGACATCGAGACCACGGTGAAACCCCGTCTCTACTAAAAATACAAAAAACTAGCCGGGCGCGGTGGCGGCGCCTGTAGTCCCAGCTACTCAGGAGGCTGAGGCAGGAGAATGGTGTGAACCCGGGAGGCAGAGCTTGCAGTGAGCAGAGATCGCGCCACTGCACTCCAGCCTGGGCAACAGAGCGAGACTCTGTCTCAAAAAAAAAAAAAAAGAAAAAGAAAAAAGTGAACCTTATTTTGTGTGAAGATGGCTCTACACAACACCGTGCCAATGTGTGCAGCTTCCAGAATGATCTACGCCAATTTCACAGCTGTTATGAGCTTCAGTTGTGTGTGGTGGTTTTGGTTTTTTTGAGACAGGGTCTCCCTCTGTTGCCAAGGCTGGAGGGTCTCCCTCTGTTGCCAAGGCTGGAGTGCAGTGGCGCAATCACAGCTCACTGCAGCCTCAAACTCCTAGGCTTTGCCGGGTGCAGTGGCTCATACCTGTAATCCCAGTGCTCTGGGAAGCTGAGGCAGGAGGATCATTTGAGCCCAGAAGTTCAAGACCAGCCCGGGCAACATAGGGAGATCCCATCTCTACCAAAAATCAAAAAATCAGCCGGGTGTGATTCTGTACTCTTGTGGTCCCAGATACTCAGGAGGCTGAGGTGGGAGGATCACTTGAGCCTGGGAGGTCGAGGCTGCAGTGAGCTGTGGTGATGCCACTGCACTCCAGCCTGGGCAACAGAGCAAAACCCATTTCAAAAACAAACAAAAAGAAAAATCACCTGGCTCAGGTGACCCCTCCAGAATTGCTGAGGTTATAGACATGAGCATCGTGTCCAGCTCCTGCTGCTTCTGGAAAGTTCTGTATTTTATTTCTCTGCTAGTTCTCTCTACTCTGCGTGACACATTTGGTTTATGGGCATTAGCAACTGGACGCTTCCGTTTATCCAGAAATGGTATAACGTTTGTGATGACTACACCAGGAATTAAAGTTGCGAACAAATTTCTGCCCTGGTTTAGAGTACAGGGTCTGAGTCCCATCCAGCCCAACGCAGCTGCTGCTTCGACAGTCTCGTCCCACACTGTCACAGCCACGAGCTGCGGCTACACGCTCTGGCCTTGGCCACTCACACACAATGCCGTAGGTACCCTCTCCAATGCGGTTCAGCTTCTCAAACTCCTTCACACTGCGGCATCGTCCCAGCTGAAAAAGAACGGTGTTGCCAGTGTGGAAATTTGGCAGCTGATGGAACAACTGAGGAAATTTCAAATGGAATTTGTACCAGGGAGCCCACTCACGTCTTGCTCACCAAACAGAAAGGCAACCACACACTTGGGCTGTTTTTTTTTTTTTTTGAGTCTCACTCTTTCACCCAGGCTGGAGTGCAGTGGCGTGATCTCGGTTCACCGCAAGCTCCTCCTCCCAGGTTCCCACCATTCTCCTGCCTCAGCCTCCGAGGAGCTAGGACTACAGACACCCACCACCCTGCCCAGCTAATTTTTTTTTTTTTTTTTTTTGTATTTTTAGTAGAGACGGGGTTTCACCGTGTTAGCCAGCAGGATGGTCTCAATCTCCCCTGACCTCATGATCCGCCCGCCTCAGCCTCCCAAGGTGCTGGGATTACAGGCGTGAGCCACCATGCCCGGACTTTTTTCTTTTTTTGAGACTGAGTCTCGCTCTGTTGCCCAGGCTGGAGTGTAGTGTGGCAAGATCTTGGTTCACTGTAAGCTCCACCTCCTGGGTTCAAGTGATTCTCCAGCCTCAGCCTCCTGAGTAGCTGGGACTACAGGTGTGTGCCATAACCGGCCAATTTTCTATTTTTAGTAGAGACAGGATTTCACCTTGGCCAGGATGGTCTCGATCTCCTGGCTGTCATGCACGTCCGTGTGAAGAGACCACCAAACAGGCTTTGTGCAAGCAATAAAGCTTTTTAATCACCTGGGTGCGGGCGGGCTGAGTCCGAAAAGAGAGTCAGCGAAGGGAGATAAGGGTGGGGCCGTTTTATAGGATTTGGGTAGGTAAAGGAAAATTACAGTAGAAAGGGGGTTGTTCTCTGGTGGGCAGGAGTAAGGGTCACAAGGCGCTCAGTGGGGGAGTTTTTCAGCCAGGATGAGCCAGGAAAGGGAATTTCACAAGGTAATGCCATCACTTAGGGCAAGGACCAGCCATTTTCACTTCTTTTGTGATTTTTCAGTTACTTCAGGCCATCTGGGCGTATAGGTGCAAGTCACAGGGGATGCAATGGCTTGACTTGGGCTCAGAGGCCTGACACTGACCTCAAGTGATTCACCCACCTTGGCCTCCCAGAGTGCTACGATTACAAGCGTGAGCCACCGTGCCTCGCCTCTTGGGTTTTTCTGATGAGAAAAGGTGGTGACGATACTGGGCCAATGCTTTGCAAGAAATATCAGAGGCGGCCACTCAGATACTCCCTTTCAATCCCATGTACAAAACTACATCTGCGGCAGAGGCTGCTGTCCCAGCATCCCTACGTCACTACCTCCTGTAAGATATGGAACGCTACCCAGTGGCATCTGGCCTTGGGATGTGAGCTGAAGGGACTGTGTGACTTCCAGGTGAAAGGAAGCTTTCACCTCTCCTCGCCTCAGTGACGGGAAGACAAATAGAACCAGAATGCCTGGCCCACCTGTGCAAAACAACTGCTTCTCTCCAGAATGTTAGGGGAGAGTGAAGAAAGGCATCATCTTAAGGCCCTATATTTTGGGGTCTCTGTCCTAGTAGAGTCTGTACCCTTCTCCATGGATCTAAGCAGCACATGTAGGCGGGGGGATGTGGCTCAAGCCTGTAATCCCAGCACTTTGGGAGGCCGAGGCGGGCAGATCACGAGGTCCGGAGATGGAGACCATCCTGGTGAACATGGTGAAACCCCACTAACTCTATTAAAAATATGAAAAAATTAGCCGGGCGTGGTGACAGGCACCTGTAGTTCCAGCTACCCAGGAGGCTGAGGCAGGAGGATGGCGTGAACCCGGGAGGTGCAGCTTGCAGTGAGCCAAGACTGCGTCACTGCACTCAAGCCTGGGTGACAGAGCAACTCCGTCTCCAAAAAAAAAAAAAGAAAAGAGCACACGTACCAAAGTTTGAATCCTCACAGCCCCCATTTCCCGGCTTCCCTTCTCTTAACCCTCAGTCTCAAACCTGGGCTCAAGCAATCCTCCCACTTCAGCCTCCCAGACTGCTGAGATTACAGGTGTGAGCCACTGGCCAGCCTTTGTTCTCAGTCTGATTCTTTCCTGACACCTGGGGACCGAGTCTGAAGCATCTGGCCTGGCACTCACTGATGGCCTAGCCTCAACCTCCCTTTCCCGCCTTAATCCCCCTTCTCACATCCTCTGCTTGTGCTCTTCTCCACACCCTTCTTATTTCTGGGTGTCCAAATCCTCGTCACATTTCCTGAACTCAAAGAAAGGCCATGCCAGGCCGGATGCGATGGCTCACGCCTGTAATTCCAGCACTTTGGGAGGCCAAGGCGGGAAAATCACTTGAGCCCAGGAGGCTGACGATGCACCGAGCCCTGATCACGCCACTACATTCTAGCCTGGGCGAGAGCGCGAGACTCTGTCTCAAAAAAAAAAAAAGGCCAAATCACCACTTCACCGGAGTCCAGCACGGGACTCCCAACGCGGTGAGCGCGTCTGAATAAGCCAAGTGTGGCTCCTGTGGTCATCCAGCCACGATCTGTTAATGATTCTTACTGAACACGTGGCTTGTCCTCTCAGAGCACCAGCCAGCAGTTAAAACACAAACCAGCAGCCAAAGTTCAAGCCTGTCCGCCCCCACCAGCCGTGCACCTGGGCTACATCGCCCAACGCCCCGAGGCTCCCTCCTGGCCTCTGCAGACGGAGGCACCGGCGCCTCTGCAAGGGCCGCGCGCCAGGACTCGCGTGAAGCCGCCAGGCAGCGCCGGAGCCCGCTCGATGCAGCCCAACCCCAGCGGGAGCCTTCAAGCCCCAACTCTTCGCGCGAGTAAATTCTTCCCAGAAGCAAGCGGCTCGCGGCTCAGCCTGCAAAGCCCGGCCCGGACGCTGAACTCAGCAGAGCCCGAGCTGGAGCCCGGAGCCTGCTCTTCCCACGGCGCGGGCCCGTCTCTCTGCGGGCGCGAGGCATCCCCGAGCCCGCCCCGGACCCCGAGATCTCCGGGGACCGCCCGTCCGAGTCCCAAGCCCTCCCCGCCCTGCGCCCCCGCCGCGGGGAACTCTGGGACTGTCGCTCCCGCCCGTGCCGGAAACTTCGGCGCGGCAGCGCGACACGAGACTCCCCAGTTCCGGCCAAGCAGTGCCGTAGCGAAGCGCGCAGAGCTGCCCGGGTGCCCCCCGCGCACCCTGTGTTCCGGAGGCACCGTGAAGAAGCCCTCCTTACGAATACACTTCAGACGGATCTGCTCCGACTCCAGCTCTAGCTCCGCCATGCCCAGCGCTGGCCACGCCTCCTGTGCGCGCAGGCGCAGACGCGGACGGCCCCGCGGCGCGTGCGCGAAAGCTCCTTTCCGGGCTTCCTCTCCTTACCAACGGTTACCAAGAGACGCTCCCGCGGGTCCGCCCTAGGCGCTCCGCCCCAGGGACCCGCTCCGACTGCTGCAGTTCGGGCCTTATTTTAGGGTGAAGCCCGGGCACCCGACCCGGCTGCGCCGTAGTGGGAGGCCACGGCGATTATTCAGGTGAAGGTCTTCCAGGTGAGATGGGGTCCCCCAGGTAAGAGGGTCCTCCAGGTGGGAGTCCTTCATATGGCGAGGTCCTCTAGGTGGGGGTGAGAGGGTCCTCGGGGTGAGAGGGTCCTCCAGGTAAGAGGGTCCTCCAGGTGAGGGGTCCTCCAGGTGAGGGGTCCTCCAGGTGAGAGGGTCCCCCAGGTGAGGGGTCTCCTCAGGTCAGAGGGTCCCACAGGTGAGGGGTCCTCCAGGTCAGAGAGTCCTCAGGTGAGGGTTCTCCAGGTGAGGGTCTCAGGTCAAGAGGGTTCTCCAGGTGAGGGGGTCACTCAGGTCAGGAGTCCTCTAGGTGAGGGTCCTCCAGGTGAGAGAAGTGCCTCCAAGTGAGGGTCCTCCAGGTGAGGGTCCTCAGGTCAGGAAAGTCCCCCAGGTGAAGTCCTCCAGGAGTCAGAGAGTCCTCCAGGTGAGAGGTCCCCAGGTCAGAGGTCCCCCAGGTGAGGAGGTCCTCCAGGTCAGAGGTCCCCAGGTCCTCCCAGGTGAAGTCCCCCAGGTGAGGGGGTCACTCCAGGCCGAGGAGGTCCTCCGGGTGAGGAGGGTCCCCCAGGTGAGGAGATCCTCCAGGTCAGAGAGTCCCCCAGGTGAGAAGGTCCTCCAGGTGAGAGGGTCCCCCAGGTTAGGGGGTCCTCCCAGGTAAGAGGGTTCTTCAGGTGAGGGTCCTCCAGGTCAAGAGTCCTCCCAGGTGAGAAGGTCCCCCAGGTGAGGGATCCTCAGGTGAGAAGGTCACTCAGGTGAGGAGTCCCCCAGGTGAGGGTCCTCCAGGTAAGAGGTCCTCCAGGTGAGAGGTCCTCCAGGTGAGGAAAGGGTCCCCCAGGTGAGGGGTCCTCAGGTCAGAGGTCCTCAGGTGAGAGGTGAGGTGAAGGTCCTCCAGGTGAGGAGGGTCAGGTCACTAGGTGAGAGGGTCCCCCAGGTGAGGGGTCCTCCAGGTCAGAGGGTCCTCCAGGTGAGAGGTGAAGGTGAAGGTCCTCCAGGTGAGGAGGGTCAGGTCACTTGGTCCAGGGTTGTGGGCTTCAGCAGGCATTTGGGTGCCTCCTCTGTGTTCAGGACATGGGGGCTCCAGGAGACTGAAGGAAAGCTCTGATGTCCATGCTGTCAAGTTCTGTGACAGAAATAAGCAGCAGCAAGTGAAAGACAGGAGAGAAGCTCCGCTGAGGGGTGGCATTTAAGCTTAGCTTCTGGGCGGGAAGAGGTAGCTGTGTCAGCATTCCCTAACAAGGTGCTGCAAAGTAGATACCTCCCCTCACTCATGGAAGACCTGACCTCTGAAGCTGATAGAAGCCATTCTCACAGGCACCTTCCTCTCCAATCTCACAGCCCAGCCCTGGAAGGTGGAGAAAGAAAAGTCGACGTGGAATGTTTAGGAAGTGTCGTGGTCCAGGTCCAGGATCAGGGGCAGCCAGCATGTCCACTGATCCGGCTTCACTGTTGAAATCCAGTTGAGCAAGCAGGGCCTAAACCACTGCCCACTGCTGAGACCAGCTCGGTCGTGGAGACCCTAACCCAGCGGCACTAGAGGAATTAAAGACACACACACAGAAATACAGGGTGTAGAGTGGGAAATCAAGGGTCTCACGGCCTTCAGAGCTGAAAGCCTCGAACAAAGATTTAACCACATATTTATTGACAGCAAGCCAGTGATGAGCATTGTTTCTATAGATTATAGATTAACTAAAAGCATTTCCTACAGGAAATAAAAGGATAGGCCAAAATAAAGGGATGGGTCTGGCTAGTTATCTGCAGCAGGAGCACGTCCTTAAGGCACAGATCGCTCATGCTAAGTTCAGGAATGCCTTTGAGCGGTTTTCCGCCCTGGATGAGCCAGGTGTTCCTTGCCCTCATTCCCGTAGACGGAGCGCCTTCCAGCACGGGCATCATGGCCATCACGAGCGTGTCACAGTGCTGCAGAGATTTTGTGATTTTGTTTATGGCCACTTTTGGGGCCAGTTTATGGCCAGGTTTGGGGCCCTGTTCCCAACAGCCCACAGCCAGACCTAGACTCCATTCAGATTGGTTTTGATCAGCATGTAGAAAATGGGGGAGTTCAGTGTGGTATAGAAAATGGGGGTGTTGGCCGGGCACGGTGGCTCACGCCTGTAATCCCAACACTTTGGGAGGCCAAGGCGGGCAGATCATGAGGTCAGGAGATTGGGACCATCCTGGCTAACACAGTGAAACCCCGTCTCTACTAAAAATACAAAAAATTAGCCAGGCATGGTGGCAGGTGCCTGTAGTCCCAGCTACTTGGGAGGCTGAGGCAGGAGAATGGCATGAACCCGGGAGGCGGAGCTTGCAGTGAACTGAGATTGCGCCACTGCACTCCAGCCTGGGCAACAGAGAGAGACTCCGTCTCAAAAAAGAAAAAAAGAGGCCGGGCGCGGTGGCTCAAGCCTGTAATCCCAGCACTTTGGGAGGCCGAGATGGGCGGATCACGAGGTCAGGAGATCAAGACCATCCTGGCTAACACGGTGAAACCCCATCTCTACTAAAAAATACAAAATATTAGCCGGGCGTGGTGGCGGGCGCCTATAGTCCCAGCTACTCGGGAGGCTGAGGGAGGAGAATGGCGTGAACCCGGGAGTCGGAGCTTGCAGTGAGCTGAGATCCGGTCACTGCACTCCAGCCTGGGCCACAGAGCGAGACTCTGTCTCAAAAAAAAAAAAAGAAAAAAGAAAAAAAGAAATAAGAAAATGGGGGGTGTTGTGACTGGGCACAAAAATTATATCATTGAGAAAATTATCCCAGTTGGGGAAGATCTGATCTAGCCAAACCCCCTTTGACCTTTAGCTTTCAAGCTGCCTTCAGTTATTCTTGGGCTAACTTTGGGAGATGTTTATAGTTTAAATGATAATAGCCCCTCCCCAAAACTCAACTGTATTTGTAAAACTAATGAGGGGCCACCAGGCTGGGGAGAGGAAAGGAGCCTGAATTCTGCTAAGATGTAGACATCAACAATTGTCAGCCATTATTCCAGAGGTCCTGCAGATCACAATGCTATTGGAACCTAAGACTGGCCTTTTGCAATATCTCTCAAGGGTTTTTTGCATGTCTCGTACCTACGGTTCCAACAGGACCCACTGGCTGATGATGGCTTCACCTGGACCTGCCAACTACTCCTGGAGTCCCACCCAGAAGTGACTCAGCAAAGGAGGGTCCTGTCTCACCCTACGATGGCACCCCCCCAACCAGTCAGCAGCAAGCACCACTGCCTAGCTACCCTACCCCTTCCCCCAAACGACCTTTGGAAAACCCCAGTCCCTGAGTTCTTGGGGAGACTGATTTCAGTAATAATCACTTGTCCGTGTGAATCAAACCCTTTCTCTATTGCAGTTTCCCTACCTTGATCAACTGACTCCATCTGGATAAGAAGAACCCGCCGGGTGGATACAGTATGAAGCCATATGAAGCCAGTTTTCCCAAGGGCTCTTATGGGCTCTATAAGTCAACTTGGATTGCTTAAAGCAGTCCATTTATATTTGAAAGCATACCATTCCAGTCAAAGCCTTGGTAAAATATGCAGGGTCTCTAATTATGTCCTATTACAAGAGAAAACAGATGGTACTGCACTTGTGCACATAATTCTATTGACATTAGAATACAGATAGGGGAAGGGAGAGGAAAACTTTTTTTTTTTTTTTTAAATAGTGCTCACAAATAGTTCCCAATTTTTGGAGAAATCAGAAAGAGATGCTACTCAAGCAAAATAAAAAAAATATATATATATATGTTCCAAATTTTTCTCACAGGAGTGTACTTTACTCAATTGCTAAAAGCTGCAAATAGCTCAAAGTTAAAAAAGTTTTCTTGGTTCTGAAAGAACAGAAAGGATCAGTAATGTTTTAAGCAAAAATGTAAAAAGATTATTTCAGTCTTATATTAGTTTAGTCCATAAAATTAACTTTTTTTTTTTTTTTTTTTTTTTAGGACGGAAGTTTTCTTTTTTGAGACGGAGTCTTGCTCTGTAGCCCGGTCTGGAGTGCAGTGGCCGGATCTCAGCTCACTGCAAGCTCCGCCTCCCGGGTTCACGCCATTCTCCTGCCTCAGCCTCCGGAGTAGCTGGGACTACAGGCGCCCGCCACCTCGCCCGGCTAGTTTTTTTGTATTTTTAGTAGAGACGGGGTTTCACCGTGTTAGCCAGGATGGTCTCGATCTCCTGACCTCGTGATCCGCCCGTCTCGGCCTCCCTAAGTGCTGGGATTACAGGCTTGAGCCACCGCGCCCGGTCAAAATTAACTCTTTTTGCCCAATACTGGATGAACAATCCTCATGAATATAGCAGCTGTCAATGAGAGTCTTGGAAGTTTTTCGCTCTATTCTAATGGCACAATCTCTAAAGTGATCAGAAACTTATATTGAAGAGTACCTTGGAGTTCTATAGCTGACTATAAACCGCCCCATAAAAGGATCAAAGTAAAACAACAATTGTGGATGACAAAATCTTAGCCACAGTTAAAGACATAATTGAGGCCGGGCACAGTGGCTCATGCCTGTAATCCCAGCACTTTGGGAGGCCAAGGCGGGCAGATAACTTGAGGTCAGGAGTTTGAGACCACCCTGGCTAACATGGCAAAACCCTGTCTTGGCTGGGCACGGTGGCTCACACCTATAATCCCAGCACTCTGGGAGGCTGAGGTGGGTGGATCACTTTAGGTCAGGAGTTCAAGACCAGCCTCATCAACATGGTGAAACCCTGTCTCTACTAAACAAATACAAAATTAGCCAGGCATGGTGGGGCATGCCTGTAATCCCAGCTACTTGAGAGGCTGAGGCAGGAGAACTGCTTGAACCCAGAAGGTGGAGGTTGCAGTGAGCCGAGATCGTGCCATTGCACTCCAAGCCTGGGCAACAAAAGCAAAACTCTGTTTCAAAAAAAAAATCTGTCTCTACTAAAAATACAAAAATTAGCTGGCCATGGTAGCATGCACCTGCAGTCCAACTACTCTGGAGGCTGAGGTACAAGAATCGCTTGAATCCAGGAGGCAGAGGTTGCAGTGAGCCAAGATTGCATCACTGCACTCCAGCCTGGGCCATAGAGCAAGACTCTGTCTCAAAAAAAAAAAAAAAAAAAAAAAAAAAAAAGACATAATTGGCAAGCAAATTTGGTTCCTTATGTGGCACACAATAATTTTACATAATAATCATAACTACTGCTAATCCCATATACTAAGACATATCAGAATCACAGACATACAATTTTGGAACACACACTAACAACACATTTATAAATATAATCCCAAGAAAAACACCATTTCACATTTAAAAATGCTTCCTGTATGATTTCATTATACCAAATAAGCCACATATCTCTTTTTGGACATCAGGGGACGTAATATCAAAAAATTGCCAGGCACGGTGGCTCACGCCTGTAATCCCAGCACTTTGGGAGGCTGAGGCGGATGGATCACAAGGTCATGAGATCAAGACCATCCTGGCTAACACAGTGAATCCCTGTCTCTACTAAAATATACACAAAAATTAACCAGGCGTGGTAGTGGGCGCCTGTAGTCCCAGCTACTCGGGAGGCTGACAGGAGAATGGCGTGAACCCGGGAGGCGGAAGTTCAAGTGAGCTGAGATCTTGCCACTGCACTCCAGCCTGGGCGACACAGCAAGACTCTGTCTCAAAAAGAAAAAATAAATAAAAATTAGCTGGGTGTGGTGGCAGGCACCTGTAGTCCCAGCTGCTCAGGAGGCTGAGGCAGGAGAATGGCGTGAACCCGGGAGGTGGAGGTTGCAGTGAGCCGAGATCACACCACTGCACTACAGCCAGGGCAACAGAGTGAGACTCCATCACAAAAAAAAGAAAAATAAAAATTAATGAGGACTGAATAAAGAATTTGATTTTGGAAAGTTGTCAAATATAAAAAGTTTAAAACAGTTGCTATCAATCACTAAATAGGATCACAGGACACTGTAAAATAAGTCACTTAGCAACAGTGGTAACTCACAGATTTCTTTTATTTTCTTATTTTTTTTTCCTGTTTTTACCTTTCTTATGGTGCTGAGATAACTCAAAAGATTTAAAAAAAAAAAATGTAGAAACCTTTATTCTTTGAGGGAATTTCTCAAATGATAAAGACAGCATAAGGTCAATTAAATCTCTAAACTTTTATAAACAAATCTATTAAATTGTAATCATCGTGACCATAAGGTATAATTTTCAGGCCAGGCGTGGTGGCTGACGCCTGTAATCCCAGCACTTTGGGAGGCCAAGGCAGTCGGATCACTTGAGGTCAGGAGTTCTAGACCAGCCTGACCAACATGACAAAACCTCGTCTCTACTAAAAATACAAAAAGTAGCCAGGCATGGTGGTGTGCATCTGTGATCCCAGCTACTTGGGAGGCTAAGCCAGGAGAATCGCTTGAACCCGGGAGGTGGAGGTTGCAGTGAGCCGAGATCACACCACTGCACTTCAGCCTGGGTGACAGAACGAGACTCTATCTAAAAAAGTAAAAATAAGAAAAAATTGCCGGGCGCGGTGGCTCAAGCCTGTAATCCCAGCACTTTGGGAGGCCAAGACGGGCGGATCACAAGGTCAGGAGATCGAGACCATCCTGGCTAACACGGTGAAACCCTGTCTCTACTAAAAAATACAAAAAAAAAAAAACTAGCCGGGCGAGGTGGCGGGCGCCTGTAGTCCCAGCTACTCGGGAGGCTGAGGCAGGAGAATGGCGGGAACCCGGGAGGCGGAGCTTGCAGTGAGCTGAGATCCGGCCACAGCACTCCAGCCTGGGAGACAGAGCGAGACTCCGTCTCCAAAAAAAAAAAAAAAAAAAAAAGAAAAAATTAAAAAATTTGTAACGCTGGGCGTGGTGGCTCACACCTGTAATCTTAGCACTTTGGAAGGCCAAGGTGGGTGGATCACCTGAGGTCAGCAGTTCAAGACCAGCCTGGCCAACATGGAGAAACCCCGTCTCTACTAAAAATACAAAAAATTAGCCAGTTGTGGTGGCGGGCACCTATAGTCCCAGCTACTCAGGAGGCTGAGGCAGGAGAATGGCATGAACCCAGGAAGCAAAGCTTGCAGTGAGCCAAGATTGCACCACTGCACTCCAGCCCAGACAACAGGGTGAGACTCCGTCTAAAATATACATATATGTGTATATACAAATCTTTTTACAAACTTTATCACAACTTACACAAACCATTTATAATATACTTGGTCTTCCTGTTTTATCCTGAGCATCCCTCTTTCCAAAATAACCAGCCATTTTAGAATAAAAATTAAGCATACAAGATTCTTTCCCATATGAAATTATTTTCCTTTTAACTTTTCCTACTAAAAATGCCTCCTTATAACTACCTTTACATCTGTAATTTTTTTTTTAAATTTTTTTTTGAGACAGTCTCGCTCTGTCACCCAGGCTGGAGTGCAGTGGCACAGTCTCTGCTCACTGCAAGCTCCGCCTCCTGGGTTCTTGCCATTCTCCTGCCTCAGCCTCCTGAGTAGCTGGGACTACAGGCGCCCGCCACCGCGCCCGGCTAGTTTTTTGTATTTTCAGTAGATGGGGTTTCACCATGTTAGCCAGGATGGTCTCAATCTCCTGACCTCGTGATCCACCTGCCTCGGCCTCCCAAAGTGCTAGGATTACAGGCGTGAGCCACCGCGCCCGGCCATATATTTGTTTTTTAAAGACAACTCACTATGTTGCCCAGGCTGGTCTCAAACTCCTGTGCTCAAGCAATCCACCCAGCTTGGCCTCCCAAAGTACTACTAGGATTCCAGGCGTGTAATTACAGGCATGTCCCCAGGCCTGGATAATTTCTGTATTTTTTTTTTTTTTTTTTTGAGGCGGAGTCTCGCTCTGTCGCCCAGGCTGGAGTGCAGTGGCCGGATCTCAGCTCACTGCAAGCTCCGCCTCCTGGGTTCACGCCATTCTCCTGTCTCAGCCTCCCGAGTAGCTGGGACTACAGGTGCTCGCCACCGCGCCCAGCTAGTTTTTTGTATTTTTTAGTAGAGACGGGGTTTCACCGGGTTAGCCAGGATGGTCTCGATCTCCTGACCTTGTGATCCACCCGTCTCGGCCTCCCAAAGTGCTGGGATTACAGGCTTGAGCCACCGCGCCCGGCCAATTTCTGTATTTTTAGTAGACATGGGGTTTCGTCATGTTGGCCAGGCTGATCTGGAACTCCTGAACTCAAGTGATCCACCTGCCTCGGCCTCCCAACCTGCTGAGATTACAGGCTTGAACCACTGCGCCTGGCCTGTTTCCTTTTCATAAGAACATTTTTTAAGAAACATTTTTTCCTAAAATATAATTGTTTTTAAGGAAAATTAGAAATGACCTAGACAGGCCGGGCGCGGTGGCTCAAGCCTGTAATCCCAGCACTTTGGGAGGCCGAGACAGGCGGATCGCGATCACGAGGTCAGGAGATCGAGACCATCCTGGCTAACCCGGTGAAACCCCGTCTCTACTAAAAAAATACAAAAAAACTAGCCGGGCGAGGTGGCGGGCGCCTGGACTCCCAGCTACTCGGGAGGCTGAGGCAGGAGAATGGCGTGAACCCGGGATCCTGGGCTAACCCGTGAAACCTGCCTCAATAAAAATACAAAAACTAGCCGGGCGAGGTGGCGGGCGCCTGTACTCCCAGCTACTCGGGAGGCTGGGAGGCAGGAGAATGGCGCAACCGGAGGCGGAGCTTGCAGTGAGCTGAGATCCGGCCACTGCACTCCAGCCTGGGCGACAGAGCGAGATCGCTCGGAGCGGACGGGGGGGGAGGACCGCCCCACCCC